AATAAAATGATAAATTTGTAGCTCGCACTTGAGAAATATTGCGTGAGGAAATAAGTTTCATTGAAACATTTCCTATTACATCGTGAATAATCATGATAAATTTCTACATTCTATGTGACTTTTTTTGTTATTCAAAATTGCACTGACAATTGAGTCACCCTTCTATTTTAATCAAGAGACTTCTGTTTTTTGAAAATGGCTTCATATTTCTACGATGATATGAATATCTATGTATATACATTCTAGAAACCAATTTCCTTAATTGAAGACATCTACCTAAAACAATTTTAAGTTAAAGGTAATCATGAACATTTCTCTATCTTACTCTAAATCTGATAACAATAATGAAGTCATTTCTGCAAAGCTTCTTTCTTTTAAATTATTATGAATTTTTTATAAATTCTTATCTTTATAAATTTTTATCTGTTAAATTCGATTGAAATTATAAATAACATTTCGAAATATCTTTACTATTAATATTATTTATAAAAGGAGAATATTTGGAATATTCTGATCAGTTTTAATTAATTTTCAAAACTTGAAAATACGCATTATATTGTTAAGATTTGAAAGACAATATTGTCACATCGCTTAAATGAGAAAGCGAGATATCTAAAGCACATTCACCCGCGTAATCCTCACAATAGTTCACATAACATGTAAGAAGTCTCGGATTAGAGGATTAACCCTTATCATTCTTATTATGAAGTACAAAAATATACACAGTCAAGTTTCTGGCGTTTTACGACTTTGTGATGTGTCGTGTGGACCTTTCACGGTAAATCGCTGGTGAAACTACATGAAATAAAAATAAAAAAAAAAACAGTAAAATAAAAACAAACTTGTCTCCAAAAGTAAACTTAAGAACGTATCGGACATTTCCGTACCGAGACATCTTCGGAGATATCTCGTACTTTTTATTTTCATAAATAAAATTAACATACATTACACAATAGTTATTTATAAAATTATTTTATAAAGCATATTTTTTATCATGTTTTAAATATATATTTTTAATGCAAAACGTGCAAATGTAAAGTTATATGATTTATAAATTAATAAATGTAGACTGTTGTGTATGAATTTGTAAATATTTAATAATACTGTTTATGAGCAAAAATATAATGAACATATTTTTTAAATATTAATATACTATTAATATAACATTCTTTACTGTTAAATCAAAATACTTTGTTGCAAAATTTGGATTGAAAAACTCTTTTTTATGAGCAAAGAATATTAAACACAAATAATATATTATTTAGTAAAGATTTATTTAAGAAATTACGATACATAAATTTTCATATAACAATAATGTATTGCCGTTTTTATTGCATGTTAGTTGTATAAAACGCAACGTTTACCCGCATTACTTTCCGAAATAATTTGAATATCGATCCACGATATCTTTCTCTCTTTCTATCTCCAACCTGCTTTCGTATAATGTTACGTGTTTTTGCGATACCCGCACATAAAATTTACATCTTCGCAATAGAGAAGAAAATGACACGATACACCGTGTACAATTTTTCGTTTGTCCTGCGCAGATACGTAATGAAATAAAAATACTCCGATATTCATGGAACAAGATTTATTCGCCTGGCAAATCCCTTGTTAACAGCATCTATTATTTATTAAAATGCAGCAATGGGGTATTTTGATGGAAACGATGCAACCCGCGTAAATCCCTAAACTGGATCAATTATATAGACTGGGACCTATAACTTGATTACGGTGATGAAATTATAATATTACTCTTTTATAGTCTAACAGTTTTGTAGTCATCATGTTGATGTTATACTCAAATTATCATGTCATAAGTACCATAAATTATTCTATTATACAAAAGACGTATCGTAAAAATTATTTTTTATTATATAAAATTATATTGATATAAAATCATGAAATGTTGGATAATCTTTGAAACGATAATTAATATGAATATAGAACTGTAGAAAATAATTAATTAAAATTTAATAAAAATAATTTTATAATTGAGTAGCAATCTTCTCTTATATACTATATACTATATTCATATACTATAAATTTTATTTCAAGTAACTTTAATATATATTACTTTCAAATGAATAACGTTATGTGGAATATATTACACGCGGTATGAAAAGCACATAAAGTCTCGCGATTATTTTTTAAATATGAATAAGTCATAAAAATTCATAAAAATTCGAAGTTAGAAAAATTCAAATTCGCAACACCAATGCATTGTTGCATTTGATTAAAAATTAGCATTTAAATTAATTATAGAACAGAATATAAAGATTGCAATTTATGGAATTCTATTTTAGAATTTTTAACTACATAACATTTTTAATATATTATATAATTTAAGTACTACAAGTTTCACGTACATTAAAGACTATCTGCTACGTTTTATTAGCGTACGATTTGCAAAGGAAGCTATTGAATAGCTTTTGTATTAAAAAAAAGAAGATTGCGGATGTCCGAGAAACCCTTGTAATTTCTCCTCTCGTTCTGAAGAATTCCCGGATGATAAATTCCAACGAGTTCTATAAGTCGAACAATACTGTTGCGGAAGATTGGATGGGGAGAATGATTTGTCTCTGCAGACACATTTTGACGAGACATTAATACCGTGTTTGATTTTTGTTATCTCTTCTTCAATTACAGTCAGTAATTTCTTTCAAAATTAGTTGAAGAATAATTGTAAAATTACAATTGTATTAAAATACACACACACACATATATACACTTTTAATTTTATATATATTACATATCGATAAAAAAATTAATTACGTGAATCCAATAAAAGTGCTATTAAAAAAAAATAAAAAGCATTAACTCACTAGATGCGTTATTAGGAAAAAGTTAAAAGATGATTCAACGATATTACTGATTTATTAAGTCGCGTAGCAGTTATCACGACACTCACTTATCGATCGCTTCCGTTTCTACGAAGATAGGGCGACGCAGATTCGCGTTAGCGTATATTATAGGGATATCTGTTATCTCACTGGAAAATTATTGATCCACGATAAATGTCGATAAAAGCCGGTTTATTTATACGACGCGGCGGATAGCTAGACTGTTTTTTCCTGCGGAGAAAAAGAAAAGAACGCCTACGAGCAAACGTCTCCAGGTGCGTCACTTTTCGATATTAAGATCACGTTTTGTGGATTAATAAAAAATAAAAGATTGTTCAAATGAAGAATTGTTTGTATATTTTCCGAAATAATTTGAATGTTAATCTACGATCTCTCTCTCTCTCTCTCTCTCTCTCTCTCTCTCTCTCTCTCTCTCTCTCTCTCTCTAAAAAATTATTCTTTTTTTAATTTATATATATATATATATATGTATACGAGAGCTTCTTTTTATCCTGCGATCGCCTCTATATAACTCTTTGGTTAGAGGATCAGACACTGATTAAGGAAGCAATCAAGAGTCCTGAAGAAACACTGAAATCAACCCTCGTTTTTTGTCTATCTCTCTTTCTGTCTATCTCTCTTTCTGTCTATCTCTCTTTCTGTCTATTTCTATTTCTACATTTGTCGAGATCAAAAATTTACTCAAGGAACAAAAAAGACCTAAAACTGCGATCATATAAAATATTACAGAGGCAAAGCCAGATAAAGCAGCGTCGCTCTGAAATTTTGATTTTGAACTTTCCGCCCATAATATGTATTTAAATATATATAGGTATATCTAGTTTTACGTCTTTTTTGTTTATTGAGTAAATTTTAGATCTCGACAAATGTAGAAACAGAGATAAACAAGAGACGAGAACTGATTTCAGTGTTTCTTCAGGACTCTTGATTGCTTCCTTAATCAGTGCCTGATCCTCTAACCGAAAATGTGGAGACGATCGCAGGATAAAAAGAGGCTCTCGTACGGAAACGTGCTACGCTTTATATGTTGGACACGTACATTCGATTATTTAGGGTAGCAGCTTAAGCCATCTCGCTGTTCGCTGCGGCTATTCAATAAACTTCGTAACGGCACAAAAGATTAATGACGTTAAGCGGAAGAGAGATCGCCTAAAGCGCTGTTTCATGCGCACAAAAATGGCTTATACTTGGAGGAAAATAAATTTACTGTGTTAGAGTCATGCCGTCGGGCATATATCTCGCAGCAAGATTCCAAGCATACTTCAATGAATTCTTTGATGTCAGTACTGTACTATTTCGAAATTAACCGTACCGCAAAGGAAAAGTAGTAATCGGTCGTTATTCAAACCAACGATCTTACAAATTCTATATTCTTCGTTTCTAAGATTGCAATTTTAATTTATACGTCTTATCTCTGTACACGCACAAAAGCGTAATTGCATAACACAAATTTCTTTTTAATATAAATTATATTTTAAATAATCTTAAAAAATCTTTAATACTAATATTAATATAACAAATTTGAAATTGAGTCTCTGTTAAAATACATTATTAAAATTATATATGAAACATATCGAACGATATCAAACACAATATATTTGTGATTAACTAAGCGACAACAATATTCGACAAAATTCTATTCATCTGTATATCAATCGAATGTGTGAAAAGGCCAACCATTCGCTATGGTGGGTCTTTCTCTCATTGCTTTATGACGCAAATACGTGTAATCGAAATATATAACATTGGACACAATGTTACAGAGATTGGAATTTATAATAAAATATTGACTACATATTTTCCATATTAAACTCGTATAAATTAAAGAATTTACAGAGTATATATCGATATATCGATTTTATAATCTTATTTTCTCTTTCGCAAAGTTAATAAAAGTAGAGAAATGGCAAAACTAAATTATCTCAATACATTTTTATTAACTTTTTTGCTTGGGAATTTTTCCTGTAGTTAATAAATAATTTTTGGAAAAAGAATTGCGTCAATAAATAAAAAAGAGGAATTACATATGTATTTTTTGATATAAAAATTAAGATTAAAATATTTATTAATGTAATCTTGATGCAATAATTGAGAAACAAAAGTTCTGTTTTTAAACATGTGAATTCTTATCGCCAGAAATCTCACGGCACAAATGATGAAAGGCCGTCATCAGTTTCGCCGTCGCTTCAGTTTGCAACCTTCGGCACATTTGAAAGAAGAACAAGAGGATGGAACGGCAAAGAATGTCAGGTAAAATAAAAGAATTTTTCTCTACTTTATTGACCCGTAGTTAATTATTATTAATGATTAAATACTAAGATTGTTCAACCATTCTTCTATTGACTAATTTTTAATTCATAAAATATTTAAAATTCATTTTTAAAAAGGAAAATATATTATTTTTCATAGTTTTTCTATTAACTGACACTCTATCACGTTCACATAAAAATTACTAAACTAGACTGATCGTAATTAAAATCAACATTTCACGAGTCGTCTTTAAGAAGAAAAGTTTCATATAGGGCGATACGTGATGGAACCAATATTAATCTTTTCATCCCTTTGAAAGAAGAGTCATCTTCTCTTCGAGAGACGTGTTCTTTGAAGCAACATGCAGATGCAGTGTTCGATTTTCGATATTTTATCTCCTCGATATCTGGCGTAAACTTAAAGTTTCAACACGAGGTTATTCGTGTTCGAAGTAATAAGTCATAGACCGGAAAAATTGCTTTCAGCTTGAAATCCCACTTGACTGCGCCCGCGCGATGCACATTTTGCTTTTTTTCTTCCACTCTCCTTTTCGTTACCATCCATTTCTCGTGACTGGCTCTCAGATTTGAGTCTGCTTTAATTTCGTGGCGAATCTATGCGGAAAAGGAAGCTCGCTTTTATGCGCACGATAATAACTATGTCTGACTTCTTCTAATAAGTGCAGATGATTACGAAGAGATCGAAGAGATATTTAGAGATGCTGCTATTTGGTGCATGTATAAAAGCGACTGTGTGTATGCGGCCTCGTCGTTCATACGAGGCATTCTCTAGCACCGATAGTGCCACGAATTCAGGACACTCTATACAAAACTGCAGCGTTCAATAACACGCGATTTCTTGTGTTTTGCGGATCCTTCGTGTTCATTAGTGCAGCATTCTCTTCCTTGGATGATTGTCTTTCTTAAACGGAGAAATGTGGTTATCTCTTTATTTTCGTCATCGTATCGCGGAAGAGAGATTGTGTATTCTATTATTTCCGTTAGCAACAATATCTCTCATAACAATTCCTCTAGTATCTCATAATGCCTGCAGCGATTTATATCTATTTAGAAAGATACATTTGAATACACATTGTGTAAAATGAGAAATGCTGACAAAACACTTTCACACAATCTGTTATTGTAATATCGCTTCGTTGAAACACAAATTTGAAAAAATTCAACATATCAAGTGTATCAAATAAAATGCAAGATGATAAAAAGAGCGTATTAATATTTCAGAAACGACAGATTGTCAGAATCGGACAGTGGTGGTGGAAAATCGGCCGAGAGTTCGATTCGACATAAAATCGTGATGATGGGCGCAGCGAAAGTCGGCAAGTCAGCAATAATTAACCAGTTTCTTTACAGTACATTCACGCCGAAGTACAAGCGCACCGTCGAGGAGATGCATCACGGTGATTTTAACGTTTCCGGGATCCAGTTGACTCTTGACATTCTAGACACATCCGGCTCATACGAATTTCCGGCAATGAGAGATCTCTCGATTAAATCAGCTGATGCCTTCGTTCTGGTTTACGACGTCAATGATGCTAATACGTTTCTCGAAGTGAAGACCCTCAGGGCTCAGATACTCAGCACGAAAGGAGCCGTCCCCATAGTAGTCGTTGGTAACAAAATTGATCTCGTAGAAACGGAACAGGAGGTAAGTTTCGGCGGTAATAAGATGTTCATCGACTTTAATATCTTTTATGGAATACGCTTTAGTATCTCCGTTTTCGGAAAAGATTATAATAAATCTGCACTAGTGCTCCACTTTTCGAGAAAATTTATTCCTTTCTTAAAAGTATATATTTTTTAGTATTGGAAAAATAGAATTTATCATGTATCTGGAAATTTATATCCCGGATGATATCGGAATCTGATTAGAATCCGATAAGAATTACGTTTGTCCAAATTCCGTATATAATCACGAATCCGAAATCAGAAAAATAGAAAATATATGCGTAGTAGAATTATTTGAAAATCTAGAAACTTGAGTGCAACATGAAGTATTTAAAGTATGAAAAGTGAATTCTTTTTCTACATAATATATTTCTATTTATTATATTTCAGTTTTTTAATATACATATACAATATTAAAAATATATATATGTATATTAGAAAACTGAAATAAATTTAAATATTATGTAAAAAAAGAATTCAATTTTTATTTGGATTTTTAAATGCTGCATATTGCACTCAAGTCGTTATATATTACATATTAAAAATTATATTATTATATATATTAAAGATTATATATTAAAAAACAAGTTTTTAAGTAAAACTTAGAATATATATAATAATGAAAATTGTATACATATTATAAAGATGAATAATATATTGATTCAATTATCTGTGTAACAAGTTAACGTTATAATGATGAAATTGCAGGTGGAGACCGAGAGCACGAGAGAGTTAGTAACTATAAAATGGGAAAACGGCTTCGTGGAAGTGTCCGCGAAGGAAAACCTAAATATCTCTCAAGTATTTAAAGAGCTTCTCATCCAAGCCAAGCTGAAGTATAATCTAAGCCCGGCGTTGCAACGTCGCCGCCGGCAGTCCCTACCACCTCCCCAGCATCTGAATTCGCGCAGTAGCAGTGCCCACGTGCCATCACCAGCTCAGCTGCAACATTTGCAACAGATTCGAGAACGCTCCGATTCGAAAAGAAATTCTTGCATTCTGTCGTAAAGCGAAATTTTTTTAGAATTGCCACGGAAAATCTCCCATGATATCACGGTGTCTAATCTAAGAATTCAAGTGTGACAGATGATAGATAACTATAATTGACCTGAAATAGAGCTTTATTTTCGGGCTATGGATACGTTATAATGGCTATGGATATCAATTATGCAAAATTTCGATAATTCACGCGAAGCCGCGAAAAGTAACGGTAATCGGTATTTCGTCCATTGCAAATATAAATCGCAAAATATTTAAGCGAGTATAAAAATTGTGCACATGTTCGACAAAGTTTTGTTCTGACGTCACGTAATTATTTTTATATATTGAAATGACGCAATCTTCTACGTGAACAGATATGTATGTATATATATAATTAAAAATGACTTTTCATATATATATGAATAACTGAAATATTTTAAAATCTAAATTATTTATAGTTTTATGTATTTTAATTTAAAAATTTTTAATTTGGAAATCCGCGATTTCTGGAATTCCTGAATCTCTACAATGTTTTCAATAATTAAATAAATCATACTTTTGGTTTGTTTAGAAAAAAATTAAAGAAAGTCATGTTGCAAAACTTTCTCTCATATGTGCAAACACATTAGACTCTTGTCTCATAAGTAGTTCAGAAAAATAATATTCGAAATATCTAAATAAAATATTAAAATACAACTCTGTCCAGTTCTTTTCGTTCAATCTATGTGAATACTTTCGTCAATTTAATGGAAATAACGTATATAAGACATCAACAAAATATAATAAGATGATAGTAGTAATATAAGTAATAAAAAAATATCACGAGTCTCGAATCTATACATCGCTTCTTTCAATTTTGTAATAATTCTTATCCGTTCGGATATTGAACAATTTCAAAAAAAATTCTATTACAGCATCACGCAAACAAAGCGTTTATTTCTTCGAGTTTGAAGAATATTTCATAAAAATGTAGATATATACATATTCTCTATTAGTAACTTTTGCAACTTATTGTAAGCAACTTCTCTACTTGTCACCAATACAAAATGAATTGATAACAACTATGAAAACCTTAAAAACATCAGTTCGAGGAATTAAAGATGATGCAAACTCTTAAAGTATTCTCTTCTAGAAAAGTTGACAATTTATGACATTTTTGGAAGAAATTGTTAACTTCTAAATATATAGAATTTCAAAATATATTACAAGAGATATTTTTGTTATTTTATATATGTGCATTAAGAGACATATTAACAAGACTTTCTGATAAATTCGACTTTAAATATAAACTTTCTTCCATATTGTCTTTTGACTGCGATCGGAACAATGATCCAAATAAATAACATTTGTGCTTTCTATATATTTATATGTCTATATATTTATATCTATATATTTAATTATTTATATTTATATGAAGATAATAATTAAAAAATTTTGAATTATATATAACTTATAAATTATATATATTTGAATTATATATAATTACATAGTTTCATTATTACACATACATTTCAATATCGTATTTCAGGGTTAATTCACACTGCCCGGTTTTTTATTATCATGAATTATATATATATATATATATATATATATATATATATATAGTAAAAATCAAGATAATAATATTACAAGAATTTATCAACTATATAGTTATATATATTATATATAATAAGAATTTGTTTCTATCTTTTTATTTGTATGAATATGAATGTATAGTTTGTTAGAATTTATTATATATATTATCGCTAACAAAATATTTATTTGCAATATAGAAAAAACTAGTAAAATAACAGTAAAAAAAGGAATGAAAGAAATCGCAGTTTATCCAAATAGATATAAACTTTCATGTATTTTTACGATCAAATAAATTAAGTTCTTCTACTAACAATAAAAAAAACAAAGTATTCTATCTGCGGCGAGATATTAGACTTTCAAATATTTGTAGCTTCAGCATGTTAAATATAAAAAATATCCATACAATCTGTATTATCTCGAATTCATGTATTAAGCGTAAATCTGTATGACATTTTATGTGTCGTTATAATTATTGACAGCAAGATACTGTCCAACTACTGTTCATACCAAATTTTCGAAAAGAAAGTTTAATGTAAATACTATTCATATTGTACTCCACTTTTAAACTATAATATAGAGTAAAAAACAATAGTAATGTATAAAACATAAGTTTCTTTTTAAGTATATACTCGACGAGTATATACGGAATTATATATATATATATATATATATATATAAACATGATTGTTTAAATCAGAAATGTGAAAAGTATTAGAACAATCTGTGGTAGGCAGTTGGTAAAATTAATATTTGTGTAGTATATTCTTTTCAAGTTGTATAGAAGATTACCCACCCCGAAGACATATAAAGAATGATTCTTTCTGATTGTGAATATGCACACTGGACACATATTTTGTCTTATGTACTATACTTTTTTCTCTGTGTAATTAATAATGAATTGATGTTTTTAAAATATTATTTTTAACATTGCTTTATTATAAATTAAATTATTTAACATTAATTATAGGTATATATAAATTAAAAGCAAATTTTATTATTTCTAGTTACTTTATTTTCTAGTACTCGTTAAAATTTTCGATAAAGAAACTAGAAATAAAAATAATATAAAATGAGCTTTTAATTTATATTATTTATTAATTTATATAATTAATATTATATAATTTCGAAATTTATAATAAAGCAATATTAAAAATAATATTGTAAAAACACCAATTCATCATCAATTATACATCAGAGAAAAAGTGCACATAAAACATGTGTCTAACGTGTACATAACAACCAAAAAGAATCATATTATACACATACACACACTTATTATTTTATATGTATATATATATATTTTAAGTGTGTGGTGTATCATTAATTCATTGTTAGTGTTTTGTTAGTATTATAAGAACATAGTTTATAAGTTCTAATCTAATTAATTATAAAAGAAAATTGTAATTTGAACATAATTAATTTAAAAGAGGAAATTTTTGGTTTTACTTTTGCTGTATGTTTCTTTTGATAATATGCCAAATTTATCGTCAATATTATACGAGTTATGGTAATAAAAACATAAAATTGTATATATAACAAATATATTATTTTCTTATAAATATTAGAGCGCATTCTTCCATGAGAGCACTTCCTTTATGAGAGAAAAAAACATAGAATATATCGATGTATAATATCTAAAAAAAATTATGCGTGTGATCATAGTCGATTTATTTTATAATATAATAATATGTAACAACAGCTTTTCCTTTGTTGTCTAAATAAATTATATGGCAACAAATATTAATGTTAGAGTTACACATTAGCATTTGACTTTGTATTATTGCAGATTAATAAAAAATATGCAGTACTACAAAAAATAAGATTGCCTGCTTTTTATGTTTTTTTTAAATAAACTTTTTTAACACTAGAACAAAACAAACGCGCGCTACGTGCGTGCGATTGTTCTATCTTATATTAAAAATAATGTAAAAAAATCTTTTTTAAATAATGTAAAATATGCCCTATTTTGTCTATTTTTATAAACAACTGTCAAACTGTTTACTCGCGATGATAGCCGATCGATAGTACAAATACATAACGCGAATCAAGACAACATTATCACTAGCAGCGATAATTAACTTTTTCATAATTTATGTTACGTTATGTCACGTGCTTCTTCAATATTTTTTATTATCGAATGAAAAACCATTTTTTTATCTTTATATAAATAAAAAATACGTCCTCTTTATTTTTTAGAGTTTTAATCAGTGCGTAATAACATCATGCGTGGAATATGATCATGTATACAACAAAGTAATGTGTGTATATATGTACACGTAGCACACATGACGAGTTTAATACACACAGAATTGAACACGCGACATAATTGAACACTTGACATAATTGGACATTGATTAAAACTTTAGAAAAAGCAGTGTTAAAAAATATCGAAATACATCAATATAATCCTCCAATATAAGAAAGATAATAAAAAAATATTTAAAAAACATGTAATGTAAAGTATAGGACACCATCTTAACAATAAGATTAGGAGAAAATTAATTATCACCGCTAATGATTAAAAAACAAAAAATAAAAGAACGTGTCTAAAATTATCAAAATACGCATTAATGAGGTCCTCCGAGAGATAATAAAAAACATTGAGAGATAATAAAAAAAATGATATAACGTAAAGTATAGAAAATACATCAAATATAGAACTACATCTTAAAATCAGGAAAAAACTAATTAGCATCGCTAATGAATTTAAAACATAAAAATATCATGTTTAAAAATATCAAAATACATTTGAAAAATTGTCCTCCGAGAGATAATAAAATATATTAAAAAAGATGTGTCGCAACCAAGTTATACAATATGTTACCCAAATGGGGACTGTAAAATTTTGAAAAAATTAATTATCGTCACAAATGATTAAAATTAATTAAAAAATAAAAGAGTGCGTTTAAAAGTATGCAAAAACATTAATAAAATGGTCTTCCACGAGATAATAAAAAATATTGAAAAATTACGTGACATAACATAAAGGTATAGGTCTCGACCCTATATTTAGGAAAAATCTAATTATCGCCGCGCTAATGATTAAGATAAAAAAATAAAAGAGCGTATTTAAAAATGTCGAAAAACATTAATGAAAGGGTCTGAGAGATAATAAAAATTAATTTTATTATATATGCATTTCAATAACGTCATCTCAACTTATTTCCTGGGATTATTGTTACCTTGGATAAGTAAAACTTCGTCGATATCTTACGACATATATGTTAAAGATAAGACAGATGTTAAAAAGAAAACAGAAGTATGCTATTTTATCGTACGGATTATTTATCATACGAGTTATTTGTTTCAATCTATAAAATATGTAGTTTATATTATATGTAGAAAATTAAAATATAATTCATAAAATATATTATTACTTGTTAGATTGTCATTTTCTTTAGTTTCTCGGAAATATTAGATAAATTATCGGTTGACTTACTAGTTAAAGACAACTGCAACATCCTTGCTTCATTTTGGAAATTAGGAAAATTACATTTTTATAAACAATTTAGAAGCTTATCAGTGATTAACTAATAATAATAAAATTGTGAATATAATATTTAATAATATGTACATAGTGAATAAAAATAATTATATAATAATTAATTTACGTAATAATTAAATAAATACTATGTATAAGTGTTATTAATAAAATTATAATTTTATATAGAAAGTTAACTTTATACTATAAAATTATAATTTTACGAATATTAATGATACTATAAAATTATAATTTTACGAATATTAATGATATTATAAAATTATAATTTTACGAATATTAATGATTATATTATTAATTATTATGTAATTATTTATATTTTTTGTGTGTATAACTAAAATACTTCATAACTCACAATTTTATTATTACTAGTTAGCTAATTAGCCTGTGAGCAAACTCCTAAAGATCGTTTATAAAGATGTATAATTTTTCTAGTTTCCAAAATAACGTGAAGATGTTATACAGTTGTCTTCCATCAACCATTCAACCGATAGTTTGTTTAATATTTTTAAGAAACTAAAAAACTGACAATTGAATAAGTAATAATTAATATATTGATCATTAACAAAGATGTGTAACAAGTTTAATTCGTGTTTTCCCACCCATAAAGTTGTTTTATTCAATCATTCTTATATGAACGAGTTATTAGCTGTCTTAAATATATATTTTTCATTTGTAATAATTATTTATAAAAATAATTAAACAGTAATAAGAACTATCTACAATCTATGATTCAGATCTACATCTACATGTACACTGTCTAATCTCTACAAATAGTGTTAGTTCAAAAGATAGTTGTACAGATATTGCGTTAGTTGTACAAATATTAGTTCTATAAATATTGTTAGTTCTACAATAAAATAATAGCTTATCACTCACCGGCCGATGCGCAGCAGCGGAGTTACAACTGCATTGAAGCTGCGTTGATCTGTAACATATAAATAAAATCCAAATTATAACAGTGCTTTAAATAATTAATATTTTCAAAAATTATTATTACGTCCATTAAATTTTAAATTTGATAAAATCATCAGTATATGTATAATTGAGTAACTCTTTAAATTTTATAAGACTATATTTTTTATAAATTTTTATAAGATTTATACCATATATCAAAAGTATTTCTCTCTAATTTTCTTTTGTTTAAATCATTTCTAATATAGAATTTAAAGATAAATTTATATAGTATTACAAGACTCACCCCATAGTTGCTCCGCCGGTGCCTGATGCCTTTGAGGTCTGCTCCTCCTCTCAGATCGATCAGAATTGTCCGTTCATAGTCCATCAATTTCCGAAATACGCGATACCTTCTTTGAACGACACTCTCGCATTAAACGCGCGATACTATGACGAAATTCCCGCACTAAACGCACGATACTTTTAGATGAAACTCCCGCACTAAACGCGCGATATTTTGGACGACATTTCCGCACTAAAACAAACTATAAACTTGTAATAAAATAACGTGAGATCTAAAAGATATTAAAGATATTTTGCAGGTATTTTATCAGAATTTTAAAAATTGAAAAAATTAAAGTGATTAAAAATGAAAAGAATTAGAGTGATTAAAAAGTTGTATAATAATTTACGAGAATATTTTAAATTTTATGCAAATTTTACTACGCGTTACTTTATGTTATTTATTTTATACTTGATTTGCCAGTTGCAATTGATTGATTATTGAATTATTTTCGTGACAGTCGATGCGTAATAAATAAATATATAAATATTATAATAATTTTAATATTTTTATATAATGATTCTTTTTAGAAGTATAATAAAAAATATCAACATTTATATGCACATCTAATTTCTACAATGTACCGAATATCTACATCTATGTATATCTACACATCTATATAATCTGTACAATACATCTAATCTCTACAATATACTTATAATAAAATAAAATTGATCACTTACCGGTTAATGAGCAGCAGCGGAATTATGATCGTAATGAAGTGACGTTGATCTGTAACATACAAATAAAGTCCAAAATGTAACAATGTTAACAATAATTAATATTTCAGAAAACTATTTATGCATTGAATTAAATATTTTTTACGCGTACTCGGCAGAAATATAATTAAAACATTTCACAAATTTTGATTTAATAATTAACAATTAATAAACAATAAATGCTCACCCAAAGATTGCCCGGCCGACGCCCGATGTCTCTCTCCCAGACCTCCTCCTCCTCTCAGGTTGTTAACGTCTTCAGCTTAAGTTGATCTGTGAAATAGAAATTAAATCCAAATTGTAACAGAACTTAAAATAATTAATTTATGTAAAAAAATTATTATTATAACGAATTTTATATTCAAGGCGTACAATAATAAAAAAAATATATTTAAATAAACTTAAACTTAAAATAAAATTAAACTAATAAATTTTGATTTAATTTCTTTAATAAATTGTTAATAAATACCTAAAAATTTCTTCTCAGGCATCCGATTATTCATTCCTTCTATTGTTTTCAGATTTTTTGAGATCATTTTCGAGTTGCTAATGTTGATCTGTAACATATAAATAGAAATTATTTATTCTAATTTAAATTTTTATTATTTTTAATATAATTTTTATTTAGAATATAATGATGTAATTTAATAATACGTAATTTATGGAAACAAATGATAAAGATGCATTTATTATCTTTGTAAATTTAAATTAAAATATTTATGCATATTAATAATTTAAAATATTTTATTTAAATAATTTTAAATAAAAAATTAAATTTTTTGTACGTTTCTTATATTATTCATTTAATTGATGATATATTATTTTGTTATTTTCTCAAATTCTTTAATTATAGTTATTAATTAAAATAAAAAATATTTTAAACTCACCGATGCAATACGCAATAATCGAGTTCCATTAGCATATATGTCGTATAGTGCATATATCGGTAATCTGTAAAATACACAAATATATAATCTTTATTTAAATTAAAGCAAATATCGAAATTATATTTAATATATCTCTAAGTAAAGACCAATTTCATCAACGTCGGTTATTTTAACTTCCGCTTAACCTATTTTTGTCTCTCTTCAGATACGTTTGTTGACAAAAAAAGAGACAAAGCTATATAGTTTAACCGGAGATTAAAGTTATATTATATAATCGACGTTAGTGAAAGTGACCCTATAAAAGTAATTATTGCGCAAATTAAATTTTTTTTTATTTTAATTTTTTATAAGTAAAAATAAATAAACAATACATTATTTACCTAATGTTAACCCTTCGGTCGTCACTTGTCGTTCCGAATCTTCTCCTTTTTTCTTTTTGTTGCCCTTTCTTCATGGCACTCACTTACAAAATCAATTCACTATAATTAAGCGCATACAAGAACAATTAATTAGGATTATGACCCTATTATCTCGCTCAAATACAATTAATAAGCATGCGACACTTGGCACGGTATCCGACTTAAATGGCTGGCGAGGCGCACTTGATGGTGGGAAAATAACGCGGGAAGAGCGCGCGAAACTTGATACTCGCGACCTCTTGCGAGCTCTAGACGTACTAACTTCGTACACGACAGCAAATCATCGAAGATCCCGAAAATCATATTCATACCTACATACTAGGAACGCGAACGAAAATGATTAAAATATGGTTTCAATACGTAACAAATGATTATGTAAATATATATCACGAGAAACTGATTAGGTCTGTTTCTACCAACGTTGATTAAATTAAATCTCCGGTTAAACTATATACATATGTTTGTCTCTTTTTAATAACTTATTATTTGAATTTGTTAGTAGAAAAAACGCCTAAATAATTATTGCGCAAATTAAAATTTTTCTTTAATTTAATTTTTTACAAATAAGAATAAATGAATAATAAATTACTTACCTAATGTTAACCCTCCAGTTGTCACTTATTGATGCCGTCCCGAATATCTTCTCCTTTCTTTTTATTACCCTTTCTCCCTAGCAAACTTACTAGCAAAAACAATTTAATATAATTAAGCGCATGATTACAAGAACAATTAATTAGGATTACGGCCCTATTATTCCGCTCAAATACAATTAATAAGCACCCGACACTTGATACGGCATACGACTTTAATGGCTGGCGAGGACGAGGCGCACTTGATGGCGGGAAAATAACGCACGAAAAGCGCGCAAAACTTGATACTCGCGACCTCTTGCGAGCTCTAGACAAACTAACTTCGTACGCGACAGCAAATCAAAGATCCCAAAAATTATATTCATACATTACGCGAATGAAAATTATTAAAATAGGATTTTAATACGTGACAAATGATTATGCAAATATATATCACGAGAAACTGATTTAAATAAATTCGCAGTACTTATGCATTTATACTTACTAAAATAAATAAAACCCGCGAAACACTTTTTGACATAGAGTAAATATTATATAGAATCGTCATCATAGGGTGATATTACATTTGTCACGCGACGAACTTTTCAAGCGCATTGATTGGCTAAAAAATAGAGACCAAGAAATTCTCTATACTGCAGCCAATCAATGCGCTTGAAAAATTGTCATACACAAATATGTCCACAAATAAGAACAGAGAATAGATCGTCGCAGTTTATCCTCTTCTTTGAGGGTTAGAATTGTCTCTCATTCTGGTTTCAACTTCAAGACTTTAAGACAGTTCAGGTATCTTCAAGTTCTAAACGGCATTTTCAGACTGAAACAAAAGTGAATAGCTCAGCGAGATCAAGAGTGATTGACAGTTGCATCGCCATTCACGTTATTTACAACTGACACGATTTTAAACATAATGATAGACGCAGAAGTCACAATGAAATATCCACAATTCCGATTGAAAATTGATTTGTCAAAGTTTTTCCATGATGCACGTCAATGTTGTTGGATTTTCATCGATGGAGCGAAGATACAAAATATTATTCATATCCAGCAACATATTAGTAAACTTTTCAGCATCACAGAACCATTTCATTTATTGTTAAACAATACTGAATACTTGCCACCAACAGAGGATATTCGCATATTGAAAGAGAATGAAACGATACAGTTAGTGTAGTTTATAAGTTTATTAATTAATTTCTCTTGAACTTTAAATTTTCATATATTTTTTATTTATCTTGCAATCGCAGCCATTACTCATTTTAATTGTTAATTGTGTATACTGATTAGTAATTTCATGAATTACAGAGTACTTCCTGGATCAGGTCTAAAAAATGGAATTAATAAATCAGAAACATGCAATAGTTCTGTGCACGATAAACAGGTCCATACAACAGATATCAAAAGAGGAATAGTTACATCTGATATACTGGATATATCTAATAATATTTTAAATGACAGTCAATCAAATTCCATGAGTTAGTTTCATTTATGTTTTTATATTACGTTGCATAAAAATGGAAATAAAATAAAACCTTCATATTTGTAACAATAACTGATAATTTTTATTTATTTCAGATAACACTGCAGAAAACATGACATTCTATAGTGTAATTGATAAAACAGTAAGTGATAATACAGAAGATGAGACAGATTTTTTTACAGATAACAATTTAACAGAGAATTGTAATTTGACAGACTCTGTTATATCTATTCCAAAGAGGAAGCGAGTACGAAAACGCAAACCAAAAAATAAATCTAAAACTTTTTCAGAATTGCTATCATATTCTAGTATGAGTGAAAACACATTTAAGAAACCAAAAATTATAGATTCTCGTATTATTCCCTCTGGACAACATATACGATTTGATAATATTGAAAAGGAAGAGAATAATATTGCAAAACAAATAATACAGGAAACATCTAGAAATGAATCTTGCATAAGCAAAGCTTCATCCTCCAGAGATTTGTCTACACTTTTAGCATTAGGACAAAGTTCAACACCAATTACATTTGTGAATAAAAAAGTAAAAAATGAAGTTAAGAGGGAAAATGAACTAAATGATGAAATAAGAACCAGAGTTTTGAAAAAAAATATGGAAGACAATATTAGCAAAGAAAAAAATTTACAAGATAAAGAAAAGACACAAAATTATGAAAACTTGATACTTAGCGATCTAGAATTATGTCCCATTATGACTAGAAAGCCACAAGTTAAAGATATTATTGCCTTCAAGGTATCTCCAATATATATATTAAATATTGTAATTTAAACAAAATTAACTATATCTCTTTTCTAAATTGTATTAAATTTCAGACTTTGAAGATTGGCGCAGATTATACACCTCAAATATCTAATTTTATTGTGACTGAGGTAGTGAGTTTTAATTCGAGCTCTGAAAATTATGTCTTGAAAGTAATCAGTAAGTAATATATTTACGATTTTATTTGTAAAGTACAAATGTTTAGTTAGATGATATATAATAGATAGATATAATATAAAATTAAAGAATCTAATTTTAATTAAAAAATTTAATTTATTATTAAAGAACTTAATTCATTATTAAAGAATTTAATTTATTATTAAAGAATTTAATTTTACATCATCTATTATATTATCGAACTAAATATTGATATGTTATTCACAGGAGGCAAAGAGGAAGTTCAAATGCCACTTGGAAAATTCTCTCTTTCAGAAGAGACATCTGCAACTCATGATGCAGATTTGTTTTCACTTAATTATTCACGGATACAAGAACCTCGTTTACTTTTTTAGATTTAATTTGTTTCATTAACATTTGTTCCGTTATTTTAATTTTATTTTAATTGCGTTGTGTTTTAAATTAGGATGCAACAGTATATAGGTGTTAATTAACTTGTGACTTTTCTTAAATATTGAACTTGTTTATCACTTGCGTTTTTTTATATATTTAATATTTTTATTTTTCGTAGATATTTAATATTTTTGGAGCTTATATCGAGAAAGAAAGATACGATTTATAATTTATTTAAATTTGTGATACAAAATATATTTATATATAAATTTAACTAAACAATTTTGTATCTATTTTACAAATTTAATATTACTTATAAATTATATTTCTCTTTCTCAATATAAATGCTACAAATATTAAAAATTAAAAATCAACAAGTTTTTAGTTACCATTTTTATACGTACATGTATCTCAGGGAAGAGAAAGAGATTAAAATAATAAATATACACATTACAGTATTTATTCATCATAAGATATAGCATTTATTATTGGATGATACATTTTGCATTGTACATGAGAAGCTTTCTATCAAACATACATAATGTCTCAATTGATTATATCAAATAGAGAAATTTTTAATTGTCGAATTGTTAATCAATTGTGTGATTTTTGTTCATTATGTTTTTTGGAAAGCATTCATAGTTTACAAAGTAAGATCAAGGGTCTATATATTATATGAATTCAGACTGTGGAAATTTCGAAATTTATTAAGTTGGCAAGATTGTTGTCGCAGACGTAGCATGACATGCGCATGCGCATCTTGCATACCGCGCTCATAGCATCGGAGTGAAGTCACATTCGTTGTGCATCGCATCCTTTTCAATAGTAAATCACGCGAGTGAAAGAAATTATATAAATTAAATTAAGTGCTCAGTGAAATATCGTAATTTATCGCATTATCGCATTTATCTCAGATAATTTTAATTAGTGAAATATTTCTTGTATGCTGTGATTTAAATAGGACACACAATATCTCTCGCGTATGTACAACAATACAGCGATTAGTGAGTAACTTTAATTCATATAATAAAAATAATTATACCTATGTGGTATATATATTATTTCAATGCATACATTATTAAGAGCAAAAGTTTTACCTAAAGTACTTAACTATAAAAAGAAACCATTTTTAAAGGGAAGCTAGCATTCTTGTTCACAGCTTTCCTATCATTTTTATAGTATAAAAAATTTTGCTAGACAATATATAATTGATCATATATTTGACATAATTCTGATAAAAAAAGATTAAGGTAAGTTTAATTAAATATAATAATTAAAGCGAACAAGATTTTGCTTCACATTTTAATCAATTTTTAATCTCACGAAATGAGTCTGTGAGAGAAATAAAAGACAAAAGGTTAATCTAATGAAATTCTCTGTTATAATATGTCGTGTGGAAAATGGTGCGGAAGTTGTAGTTCCACTGTTGACATTATTCTTGTTGCGAAATAAGGAAGGCGCGGAGAAACCGGGTATGAGTTATCGTCTTATCTTCGTTGCAATATGTCTCCGCAACTGTTTGCCGGCGTGAACAACACCTTGTTTTGGTTACTCGGCCATGAATAATTCACGAATTAAAGCGCGCGCGCGAGAGAGTAAATGTACGCCTCTGATGTTCATCGGATTAGATGCTCGTTGGAGCAAAGGATATTGACACGATGGATTTTGATCCGCGCTTTCAAAAGTGAATTATTCATAATCAAACAATCAACTATATCATTAAATGAATAATATATGCGAACGCTTGATAGCATCGGTTTTTTTCTTGCTTGGAGAGCAAATACTTTTTGTGCTCCATGTTTAGCAGGATCACTTGCTGAAATTAAAGCTCGAATGAACATTGGATTATGAATTCTGCTTTACAATCGACTATTTCAATGTTTATAAAATGTTGAAAATTATTTAAAATCGTTTATAATTAGTTTGTATTCAAACTAAAAACGGATTATAAATACTTTTCATGCGAATTGTTTGCACATTTTCTGACTGCTACATCATCAAATCGATGGATCCCAATCATTATGCATGTTGCAATTAATGGCATTCATCCTTTCGATCGAACGTCAATTAGAGCTCTCTTCACATATTAATTATTTGCGCACTAGGAATACGACGAGAAAATCTCGTATTACACGGATCTGTTTTCAAAAGGATTCTTTTATAGATGTCAATGTAAAAATCATATAGAATACATTTAACAAATTCATTTGCGTAAGATAAATATGATTTATTGAAAATCGGACAGTACAATAGTAAATTTATATATAATATATTTCGTATTTCAGCAGTTTTCATGAAAATTAAATTCTAGAGAATAAGAATCAGAAAATTTAAAAAAAGTAAAGAAATCATTACATTAAAAATTAATTAAATTTAAAGAAATTGAAATCTTATAAAAAAAATTCATACATAATACAAATACATTAGGATAGTATAATCCGCCTTATGTAATAATTGAAAATAAATCTAATAATGTAGGTGAGATAAATAAATTTTTAATGTGTATATGACGTATATTACATATTAATTTTGACGTAACTTCGATGTTTTTTAACAATTATATTTGAACAATTGCAATAAATTACAAGACAATTTTGGTATCTCACGAATAGAACACTAATTCAGTATAAAAAATGATATATAGAAATTGTGAGTTAAAAGGAAAAATATTTTTATATCCTTAAAAAGTTGCAGTAAAAATTGAAAGCAATCTATAATAATTAGTCGGTAAAATTATTCACTTTAGAATGATTTTTCATTCTGATTTTACAGAACGTTTTTGTGTGTTTTTTTATGCTAAGCAATTTACTTTGCATACAGCATCGAATAATCTACAATTTTTCGTATAGTAATACTACATATATGGAATTTATTTTTAAAAATTATTTTGTTTTCGCTATCAGGTTTCGATAATTTTTTGGTAATTAATTTTTGCAAATTAACTTTATGTAGATATTAATTAACTTTGCGCGCAAATAAATTTGATATTTATTTTGCAATTTGCCTTCTAAAATTACGAATATCTCACGGATATGTAACGGATTATAAACTTCTATTTTGCAATGCTGGAAACAAAAAAACAATGCATTTATGCAATATCACGATATTATACAGTACACATACATCAATATAAGTGTAAATATGAGCATGTAAATAAGCCTCCGAGATTTCAACGTACCGCTGAAGCTTTTATGGGAGTTTCTTTTTTTTTTTTTTTTTTTTTTTTTTTTACGCAGCTTCTATCGTCAAGTAATCGTTTCAAACTAAAAATATGAACCATTTTAATAGAATAAATTGCGTTTTTTTCGTTTATTTCTATTGTAATAACTCAGAAAAATTTTTTCACATATTTTTTATAAAAACTTGCGAAAACAGACTCCTTTAACATGAAATTGTAATCAATGTTCAACCTAGCTAAACTCAACGTTTAATCACGCATACGTCACTGTTTATACAATTCGCAATTACCCTACTCTCACCGAATAAATCCCACGGTGATCGATAATTTCAGGACGTATATCGAGACTTTCTTGAAACCGTAATCTCTAATTGTTATTCACGATGATTTCTTACTTGCCGAGGTAATCTTATTGCATAAATTTTCATACAAAGATATATTGCTCGTGCGGAAGTTTAAGCGATAATAATTCAGCACGCATAAATTGTTAAGTAATTTGTTTTAAAAACAAGGGCGGGGCAAGATGGAATAAACCATAGAAATGTCGACAACAAACCAAACGATATACAGAATGAGCCATTTGCTGTAGCACGTATTGATTTAAAAGCTATTGACAATCCCGAATACACTTGGGTATGCTATTTGTTACGTTCGACGAAACTTTTCTACTTTCCTACGGTGAATATATACAATCCAATTTCTACTGTCGGAAGTTGCAAATGTTTTGTAAATATACATAAACTTTAACTTATTCATATACAATTCTTTTCTTGAAAAGTAGTTAACGTAGTTATAACATTACGTAAGTCTGATCGATGAAAATTTATGAAAAATTAATCTATGGATGTGTTATCTTGCGTAATCAAATCTTCGGTATTTAAAAGATTTTTGAAACGCGTCTTGTTTTATTATTAATATAAAGCAGAATGAAAAAATATACAAAAGAGAAGCAGCGAAATCTTGTTCACTATAATAAAAATTAATTTAAAATATCATATATATATAGATCAAAATTACACAAGTAATAAATAAAGCATACCTACTATTTAAAGTAGCAAATAACTCGGAAACTTTACACACACATATAATTATATTATTTGTACATATACATTATTAATTACTCAATTATATGTATATGCAATACGTTTTACTCTCGCAAGAAATTTGATTTTTCTCGATTCTATCCAATCTGTAAAGGGATCTGTAAAATAAACTACTATTCTATCGGGTCCATCGAATTTCGGATATAGAAAAGAGCCGTTCGAAGATGAACAATAAATCACCGATCACTCGTTGAATTGTGGAGCTAGTCGTTACCATTGAAATCTTTTCGATTTATAGGGTCGAGCAATCGAGCGAACAAACGCGGTGTATCTATCTCGTATCCGATAATAATTCACGCCCTTTCGTGACCAGTAATATGAGGGATCTGTCGGCTGCGTGCACACTGAGATACACGCGTATATCTACTCACGACAACATCTCGATACGTGTCGACGATGATCACGTGTATGTACCCATATACATGCGTCCGTGATGGAATAAGGGATTGATGCATGGTATGCAATAACATGACGAACGTTGCAGAAATAAGAGCGCCGCATTATTTGATTTTTTTCGCGAAAAGAACACATTTTTTACTATCTAATAAAATTTGATTTAGGAGTTTTGTTTGCAGTTATTTCTAGAAACATTATTTCGGCAAATATTAAGTATAAATTCTAATTCTAATTCCAAATCTCTCAAATATGCTACACACATTGCATTTGTATGGAATATATTAAAAAAGTTATGTAAGTTATAATATATCTGTAATATTACACTTTTGATCAACAAGACGTTAAAATATTATAAGTCGTAATTAAGAAAATGATTTTAAACTTGTAATTTATTAGAGTGCAATGTATTCAATGAATATAATAATTAATACAGTTCTCTCACAGTCGTGAATGTAAAACGATGATCAGTGGGAATAATTTTAAATTAAATTACTAATCGATCTAAATTACAACTTTCCAAGTATAAAGTCGAAATGTATAAAGTATCGTGATGGAAGAGCAATTAACGAGAATAATATGACTATCTCTAATTACTTAGATAATTATAGTGGCGATTTTCTATAGACATATTTGCGCGGATTACTCGAGCACAAGTAGTATATAATGTACGTTTTGACAAATTTCTGTCAGGTCAAAGTTCTGGATCCTTGATCTTTCATCCCTTTCGCCTGAAAACGTTATTCTACGACGCGTTTGTCGTATAAATCACCTCGAGACTCGCGAGATATGTCGAGATGAGTAACGAATTCCTATTGCTACTATTCTGCGTTCCAGTTCGGGCTTGACGTCACTCAGTTTTCCGTTTCCCTTCGTGCACAAACTACGTATATAATTGAAAATATCCATTTATTTGTGAGAAGTATTCTCCATATCGCAATTACCGCATAGAAAAGAGATTTCATTCATCTGTTTATTAAATTACTATATGCAATTTCCGACACAGTTTATTTAGATTTTTGTACATATATAAATATCGTATATGTATATTACGCAATATACAGATTGAAGCACTTTATTTTATTACGTACATTGATGTTTCAAATTTAATATACATTTCAGTGACATAAGTACAGTTTATCTAGACTGTATCGACATTCATAGTTTTCATATTTTTCTAAAGATACAATTATACATTTTTTAATGTCTTAAATTCTCCTCTCTAATATCTCGTATTTCCACTTTCTTCAAAGGCTCTATTTATAAAGCTTTCTCAGCTTTCTCTAAAAAAATGAAAATTTATAAAAGTCAGTTAAGAAAAGTAAACTTT